TGAGACACTGTGTGAAGCCACTGGTTCATAAAGGAAAACCTTTGGTAAATAGGTTGTTTAGGTGTGAGTAAATTGATGTTCTCTCTCTCTGTAGCAAATGTTCTTGTGTAACCTTTGAATAATAGTGTATTTGTAGGCCTTTATTCTTTCCTTTGAATCCAGCTGCCATTATGGCTCCCAGGAGAACTCAAACTTCTACAGAAATGGAGGGAGCATTCTTTTTTCCCTCCATATCATCCATAATTATCTCAGTGCCTTGAACACTAAGCCTAACGGGTTTTAGTTAAACAAAGTGCAAGTGAGCTTGGAAATCTAGACCCAGACCACTGACCATATAAACTGCTGAATACTATTAAAATCTGCATTGATTGATTGATAGCCATATCCCAGCTTTTTGATTGTCCATGGCCTTGAGGTGTTCTGTTACTCTTCACAGGTGGGAGACATTGAGGAGTGCCGTTTTGGCCCACCACTGCCTCCACCCCTCTCACCTCCAAACTGCAAGCCATCTCTGGACTCTCAACTCTAATTATCGCTTATGTTTCTCCCCTAGGATTCTATAACTCAAAAACCAGCTTGAGGTTGTAATTTATCACTTCGTTACTCAGCCTAAAATTAACAAGCAGGTTTTCCATTTTGTTGGCGCCTAGATCTACCTATAAGCCCCCTGTGAGCAGAATCGTCTTTATCAAGGAATAAATGTAGCTCATGAACTCTACCAAATAAGTTACCTATATCAGGTTAGTGGTTTGGGACAATAAGAATTCTAAGCAGCAAAGAGTATTCACTAATTCATTGATTCAAAAATATGCATGAGGTACTTACTATAGACAAAATCTGTTCTAGGCATCAGGGTTAGAATTCTAAGCAGCAAAGAGTATTCACTAATTCACTCATTCAAAAATATGCATGGGGTACTTACTATAGACAAAATCTGTTCTAGGCATCAGGAATTTTTTTAAATGAATAAAAAAAAGTCCTTGCTTTCAAAACTTTATAATATAATATAACATCTATATATAAAAGCCTAAGCGACCGAACAACCAAATGACCAACCTGTCGACTGGTCACTATGACGCGCACTGACCACCAGGGGGCAGATGCTCAATGCAGGAGCTGCCCCCTGGTGGTCAGTGTGCTCCCAGAGCCAACCTCCTGCAGCTGGCCAACCTCCCATGGTCCATATCTCCGGCCGGCTGGCCTCATCGGCCCTAATCGGAACCTCTCATGGCCCCTCCCCCCTGGCCAACCTCCTATGGCCCAATTGCCCCAATCACCGGCCAGGCCAAGGGACCCCACCTGTGCACAAATTCGTGCACCAGGCCTCTAGTAGTATAATAATAATATACTAGTACCATAGAGATGACAAAGGCAGAGGTAAACACAGTTATATACATAGATAAAATATTTGCATTTACGATATACTGTATATTTGACAGGATCTCATCAGGAAAGCAGAAACCACTCAAGGTTTTTCAAAAGAGAATTTAATTGAGAGAATTGGTTACAAAATGGGAAAGGCTGGAAAAGCAAAAAGAAGGAGGAGAAAAGAGTGCAAAGGGCAGAAGCTGCTAATAGCCCTGTCTTGGAGCCCATGGGCCTGAATCTGCTGTGTTCCTATGAGAGATGCTATTCTAGATGTCTATGAACTTGCAAAAAGAGGTGCTGCCCCTTCTTCAGCTGTGAGAGTCTAAAATCACCGCACTGCCCTGGCAGCAATCACAAGCAACTGCAGCACCACCACTTCCAGAGCCAGAACCAAGAGCCTTCCCTCCCCTCCACCTTCTAATCTCCAGCCAGTTCTTCCGAAAGACAGCACCTAACATGAAGCTGGAGAGACAGGGAGCCTAGGCCCAACAGTGCAGAGCAACGTGTAGAAAGCAAGATATGAGATTCAGAAACACCAAATGAATAGCTGGCACAACCCACAACAGAGGTTTTAATGTAAAGCCCTGGTAATCCCAAACCTGGAGCAAATAATTCTTCCCTAGAAGAGAGAATGCAGTTCTGTTGCAGATAAAGAAAGTCCATTTGGCTAGCTTAAGCAGAAAGAGATTTAATACAGAGAAGTAGTGCTTACAAAATTAAAGAACTAAAGTAGTAGGCTCCAGGCAGGGCCACTGGAAATGACTCCCAGACCACAGTGCGGACTGTCCTACAGATAGCTCCATCACAATCAGGAAGCTGGTGTTGACTTGAGGACCACCAAAGCTAAAACCAGAATTCCTGGGTCCAGAGATACTTATATTGTAGGAGTTGCACCAACAAATGAGTGCCTCCAACACCACCTCTGACATCATTTAACTCTGTCTGATCCAGGGAACCTAAATCATGTCCACAACCATAGTTGCAAGGGAAGCTGTAGTTTTTATCTTTCCTAAAGGAGATGAGAACATGCTAACGGAAGCCAGTCCAGACAGATACCTGCCATGGAAGGAATTTTGTGAAATGTATAACATTTAAGATACTCTTTGCAGGCTCCAAGAGGACAAGAGGCAGGCCAGTTTTATACTCCCAGGACGTTTCCACCATCTGACACTTACTCAGTACTCAATAAATATCTACTCGTTGAATGAGTAGAGACATGTACATAGGTTAGTGCCTGGTTGTAAAGTTAAGGTTGATAACACAAAGCCGGGAGTCTTGATGATGAGAAGCAAGAATGCAATATTCTACATACTTTTATTGGATACCACCATATGCTAGGAGCTTGGTACATAGACACTGAGGTATAGAAAGGAATGAGAACCAGTCCCTGATCAAGGAACTCAGAGCCTGGTGGGTGAAAGACAGATAAAGCAAGTAAAATTCAGCATGGTTCTGTGCTTTGTTCAAGGTGAGCACATTGTCTAAGTGATAAAAGGCAATTGTGGGCAAGAAGGGCTGTGACTAGTTGCCTTGGGTATCTGTCCACACTTCTTCCTACACTCCGTCATGGCTACCTAATCATTTTATTCTTCTCAGCTCAGTTTTACCTTTGCATACTGAAATCTTTAAGGATGTTACAGTGTTCGTATGTATTCAACTTTGCCCTGCAAGTTTCCTTTTTCCTGCTAAAATTAAATAGCTTACTGAATAAACTTTATGAAGTAAATCAGTTTGACACTGACAGCAGCTTCCTTTATGTTATTCACTCTATGTAATAAGTAATCTCTCTGCCGGCAGGTCTGCTCTAGCCATCTGGCCAAACCCTCTGCAAAGCCATCTCTAATTCCCTCAGGTCGACAATTTGCTGAGACTGCTGTTAGATCATGAGATCCTGGAAAGCAGAACTAGGTCTATTCCTAGACACTCTACATGCTTAATACCTAGAATAGTGCTTGACACATAGTAGGCACTCAATATATGTGTACTGGAATATCGAATATAATGTCCATTCATTTGCCTTGCCAGTTTAAAGGTGGTGGTGTTGTATGCTTCAGCAGGAGTCCTGATGGATGTCTAGGAAGACAAGAGGTTGAGTCCAGAGTTGTCCATGGCAGCACAGAAGAGTCAGCAAAGCCCACATTAGAGCGCTCGGGAAGGGGATGTAAGCAAGCAGGTGCCTCTCCTGGGAAGCATATAGAAGTTGTGTTCTATAAGCCCTGTATGTGTGCTGCCTACTAGAGAGGGGACACCCAGGATCATCATCAAGCTAATGACAGGCATAATGAGGTCAAAAACTATAGGTGAATGAATCCAGCCCCAAATTGAGATGAGGGCAAAGGTTGGTATGTAGGCTTTGATCTATAAATAATGTTTCTCTCCACAGAGAGTTACTAGATACTGGGTTTAAGAACTTTCTCCCTAACAAATACTTGTAATTCAAATATTCTATGTTGTCAACTAAAAGAAAACTCGTGTTCAGTCTAGCTCAGAATAGGTGAGCTATTCATTTGTGCAAGGTGAGGAGCCTGCCAAACACCTGCCTGAATGAAAGACCACCCAGGCCCACATACAGGTGAGCAAAGGGTATGAGACAGGCTAGTGAAAAATCCACACTCAGATCTAGTCGGACAAGAAGACAACTTGAAATTTTGGATATATTGTCTTGGCTTCTTAAAGGATTTTTTAAAACTAAACTCTATGTTGATTCCATCCATCTTTTTGAAAAAGCTTATTTCTCATGCCAGCTTCCTAAATGGTTGATGCTGGGGCATTTTTCATCCGACAAAAAAGGTCCATGGGAGAAACTTCCCCCAAGCCTGGCACCAGCACTTCTTCTTCCAGGCCAATTGGTTTGTTTCTATCTCATTGACTGTGAATTTTTTGACTGATCTGATTCTGTGATAGAAAGGCACTTTTATGACTATGAAGAGGGAAAGGTCCAAATGATCCTGAAATCTCATTTCCTTCATCCTGGCAGGGAGCAGACTCAGTGGATCTGAGTTAAGTGGATAGAAACACAGGCTGGTCCCAGCTGCTGGTTCCTAAGGCTATGCCTTTCTGACGGGGCCCACCCCTTCCACTAGGGCTTCCATTATCACACAGTCACATAATCACACAAATGTCCATTCGATTCTATAAAAAGAACAGCATTGTAGGCATGGCTCATCTTTACTAGAATCTCAGCCACAGTGCACTCAGTCCCCTCTGATGAGCCTAAGCTGTAGAATAATGAGAATTGGGGGAAATTTGCATTTCACTACAACTCTACTTAGAATCCTGATTTAAAGCACAGTCATCTTACCATCACTTGCTGGGAATTGTGTCTTCAGCAGCTCCCAGTCTTCAAATGAACTCCTAGACCCATGGTCGGCAAACTGCGGCTCGCGAGCCACATGCGGCTCTTTGGCCCCTTGAGTGTGGCTCTTCCACAAAATACCACGTGCGGGCGCGCACATACAGTGCAATTGAAACTTTGTGGCCCATGCACAGAAGTCGGTATTTTGTGGAAGAGCCACATTCAAGGGGCCAAAGAGCCGCATGTGGCTCGCGAGCCGCGGTTTGCCGAGCCACAGTTTGCCGACCACTGTAGACCAACTGGACTCTATTTAACTATGCTATATTCTTGATTTCAGATGGCTATACTACTGATGACATTGAGTTTTACTGGAATGGAGGAGAGGGAGCAGTAACCGGAGTAAATAAAATTGAGCTTCCTCAGTTTTCAATTGTCGACTACAAGATGGTGTCCAAGAAGGTGGAGTTCACAACAGGTGAGGATGTTTCCTCCAAAATAAACTAGGGCACTGCGAACGAAAGAAGATGTTTTCAACCAAGTGATGATCTGATTCTTTCTCTTTTTTTTTCAACTCAGGGTCATATCCACGACTATCACTAAGTTTCCGTCTAAAGAGAAACATCGGTTACTTCATTTTGCAGACCTACATGCCTTCCACACTGATTACAATTCTGTCCTGGGTGTCTTTTTGGATCAACTATGATGCTTCTGCAGCCAGAGTCGCACTAGGTAATGCACTGCCAGCACCACAGAGAGCTGGTGGGGTTTAGCTTTAAACAAATAACCAGTGTTTGGAATTATAGACAAGGGTCTTCTCTCATAGCAATCCAAAGAATGCAACTAACATAAGAGTCCTTGATGATAAAGCACCTAAGTGTAAGCTCTTACAGAGTGAATGTTTTACAATGCCATAGCTTTTCAGCATTTTGCTAAAAATACTACTCTTAAAAAAGGATCTTGGAGTATGTTCAATACTATGTAAGTGTTTCTTAGAGTATATTTTTTTAAATTCTTATTACACTAATTTTTACTAGCGGTGTGATGATTTTCTCTTCAGTCCCTACTTTTTGCAGTGGAGAATATTTACAGTGCATTATTCTCAAATGGATTTGAAGAAAGATAGATGTCATGACTATTACCAAGCTATGCTGAATGTTGGGAAATACCCTCTCTCGAACATTAACTAAAGTTAAATCTTATTGATCTGAGTCTCCCTTAAATGGAGCTCATCATACTTGAGATTTTACAATGCCATACCTTTTCAGCATTTTGCTAAAAATACTGCTCTTAAATAAGGATCTTAGAGTATGTTCAGTACTATGTAAGTGTTTCTTAGAGTATATTTTTTAAATTCTTATTACACTAATTTTTACTAGCGGTGTGATGATTTTCTCTTCAGTTCCTACTTTCTGCAGTGGAGAATATTTACAGTGCATTATTCTCAAATGGATTTGAAGAAAGATAGATGTCATGACTATTACCAAGCTATGTTGAATGTTGGGAAATTCTCTCGAACATTAACTAAAGTTAAATCTTATTGATCTGAGTCTCCCTTAAATGGAGCTCATCATACTTGAGTAAGGCACAGATAATTCATCAGCTATATTAATGAGCTAGGCACAGATAATTCACAGCTCTATTCTGTGATCAGCACAGAATGAAAATGGTTTTCATCTTGGGGGGAAAAATTCAGAATTAATCTTGCCATGGTTGAGTAGTTGCTGCAAGCTGTAAGGCTATATTTGAGACTTTAAATGGTTCCTTGGAAAGTTAGAATGTATAGTCTGTTTGATGAATCTGAGCATATGTGGATCTGTCTCATTGTTTTATCATAGAGCCATTTCAGTTACCACTTTCTGGGGCTTATTCACACACACACACACACACACACACACACACGAGCATAATTTCTGGCTAAGCTAACATACATCTCTTCTCTTCCGAGATTACTGAACTGGTAAGATGATCAGATACCCTATCATGCCTAGACTAATTGTCATCTCTCCAGTTTATTTCTAATGGCTGGGTACATAAAGCTCATAAAGTCAAGTGCTGACAGTCCCTCATTAACTTTTGAACATTCCAAGACTAAGAAAAGTAAACTAATAGTTTATTACATAATATGTATGTAGCTGCATGTTACTTTAATGTGAATATGAATATATGTATGCTATGGTTAAGGAAAACTCACTGAATGATGTCCAGAGTGGGGAATAACAACTACCCAGGTCATAAATTGTGGTTTTCCCTACACTTCTATCCTCAAAGTTAATGATATTTTGATTAGAGATATCAGCATATAAATATGCTGACTTAACCTGTACTTTGAGATGTAAAACCTGTGGTATTTTAATACTTATCTAACTAGAAAAGACATTCATTTACTAACCCATCTTGCTTTAAAAATTTAAACCAAGGAGTGAAAGCAGAAATACAATTAGTGGATTTGTAAATGAATTGTTTGTTATTAGCTAGAATTATATTAGGTGAAATTTAAAATTTTATTCAAAAGTAAGACCACTCATGATGGTATGTCATATCATTGCAGCACAATTGAGCTCATCACCCATCTAAGCCAATTTAACTTTTTGTATGGTAGTCTTGACTTCCTACTTTATCTGTTTTCCTAATGTTGAATAGTCAAATCAGGGAATCTATCTAGAACAGCCGTGGGCAAACTATGGCCCGCGGGCCGGATCCAGCCCGTTTGAAATGAATAAAACTAAAAAAAAATAAAAGACCGTACCCTTTTATGTAATGATGTTTACTTTGAATTTATATTAGTTCACACAAACACTCCATCCATGCTTTTGTTCCGGCCCTCCGGTCCAGTTTAAGAACCCATTGTGGCCCTCGAGTCAAAAAGTTTGCCCACCCCTGAACTAGAATAATCTAATTAGCAAATGAGTACTAAATTATTTTTTTTCCCTTTTCATTTTCTACCTTCCATACCCGTTGCCAGCTTTCCTTTGTCTGTAATATTCAACTCATATTTTCTGTCTCTATTTTTAAGGACTGCCATCAAGTTTCAGGTGTTGTTTTTTTAATCTCTGCTTTTATTTTAAATGCCTTTGTTTAACAGCTCCTTGCTTTATTTTGTCCCTAGCTGTGTGATCTACACCAAAATAATCTCAGAGTTTATATTTATTCAACTATAAAATGGAAATAATATACCTGCCCTATCACACTCAGCAAGGTCTTATAACAGCCAAATAAGATAATTCATAACCGACTATAAACACTATACAAATGTGTAATATTAGTATTACAGCACAAACTATGCACATGAGATTCCAACCTCTTTTGCACTTCTTATTTTTTCCAATTACCATTTCATCAATACCAAATAGTTATTGTGCAGTCACACAAATATTATATGGTTAAGAATGCTATATTTAACAAAGTTGGTAATGTGAAATCTTCCCTTTAAGATCTTACAGCCTTAAACTTCTTTAACAAAACCAAGTTGAAATTTTTAGGAAGTCTTTTCTTGGCTCCAAGGAACTAATTCATTCTAGGTTCTGGAATCAAGAAACTAGAGGTAATATTTGAAAATCCAATGCAACAAGATTTTATTATATCTAAAAAATACATAAATCAAGTGATTAATGAAAATCGTGAACTTTCCTATATGCTTCTTCTTTTAGTGTTGTCTCTATCTGTTTATTTTAAAATGTAATACTGACCTTGTGATCTAGGTGCATTACAGAATCATGGAATGAGGTAGGTTTCCTCAAACTGGTCACCAACTTTCAGCTTGGTAGTGGCTGCTGTGGGGATTAGTATCACAAAACAGATTTAGAAGGGAGATAAGATGCTGAAAGAAGAAGAAAGATGTAACATGTAATAGAATGAGGGGTATTAGGCATTAGTCAGTAGGCATATCAATGGGATTTTGATATGCCTTTCCATCCACTTGTCTTTTTTCTTGGTGCATTATTTTTAATGGTTTTTAACTCTCCATTAGTGCCACATCCCACTTTATGATTTGTTCATGGACTATGTAGGGAGTCTGCAGTTTTGTCTTTCAAAATGTTTGCCCTTTCTGCCCAGTGGTTTATTGCATTACCGCCATCATTCTCGGGCTTCAATAAGGGAATGGCATCTGTCTTCTCAATCTTAAAAAGGGCAACTTAACAAGTGCATTCAGCTAAGCTGTATCTTTCCACCTCCTAGGAATCACCACGGTGCTGACAATGACAACCATCAGCACTCACCTCAGGGAGACCCTGCCAAAGATCCCGTACGTCAAAGCAATTGATATTTACCTGATGGGTTGCTTTGTGTTTGTGTTCCTGGCTCTGCTGGAATACGCCTTTGTAAATTACATCTTCTTCGGAAAAGGCCCCCGGAAAAAGGGAGCTGGCAAACAAAACCAGAGTGCCAATGATAAGAACAAACTGGAGATGAATAAAGTCCAGGTAATGTATTAAATATTCCTAAGCCTTAACTGGCTTGGCTCAGTGGATAGAGCGTCGAACTACAGGTTGAAGGGTCCTGCATTCAATTCTGGTAAAGGGCATGCAACTTGGTTGCAGGATCCATCCCCACCTCGGTCTGTTGGGGTGTGTGCAGGAGGCAACCAATTCATGTGTCTCTCTCACATCGATGTTTCTCTATGTGTGTCTTTCTTTCTCCCTTCCGCTCTCTCAAAAATTCAGTGGAAAAATATCCTTGGGTGAGGATTCATATTCTTAACAATATTCTGAAATTTAGCAGCAGCATGGTGCTCAGGGCTCCCACAACAGGGGAAAAAAATGTTAGTTTGTCTTTAATAAGGCTCAAATACTCCTTCATTTTACATATTTGAAAACTGAGGATGGAAGAAGTTAGATTGATGTTTACATATATTAATATCACACCTGGACCTAAAATTCAACCTCAAGTTCATTATTCTTTATTCTAAACTACATAGTTGTAAAACTATATGCAAAAGAATAATTCCAGGTCTGCTTGATAAATAAATGAGAACTAAAGTGAATAAGCACTGTACTCTGGAAGTGGAAATGAGACAATAGAGCACAGTGGTTATAAACACAGATTGGAATCAAATTGCTTGTATTAGATTCCCAGCTCTGTCAGTCACTGGCTTTATAACTTCAGGCCAATCAACCTATGTAACTCCTCATCTAATGTCAGTTCTAAATATCATCATCCATAAATGGAGACGATTATGGCATACCTATATCAGACTTGTTATAAGAACTAAATGAGGTGTTTTTTAAGTTCATTATTTAAAACAAATCCTAGAACATAGTAAGTACTCAGTAAGTATTAGCTATTATCATTATAGACAGGATATTGTCACTCTTTTTCTTTTTGCTGTTTATTAGTCAATCTTATGACTTATACTCCCAGTGGGTGGAATTAAATTAAAATTAATGCACTGTTTATTCTTTTAAAACATCTCTGTAGTCTCTTCTTCTATGCCATTTTTACTGGAATCAGTTTAAAATTTTGTACTTTGAAATACTGTATTCACTACAAATTGTTTTCAAGATGGCACACAGGGTGACAACTCAAATATCCATCCATTTAACCAGTGTTCTGAGCACTGCTCTGAATGGGACAAAGTTCCTTGCCCTCGTGGAGTTTAGAGTCTAGCGTGGGGAGACAGGCAATATACACACAAATCAGCATTAAGAGGATAATTTCAGGTACGGGTACGTGCTATGAAGAAAGTAAAAACAGTAATGGGGATGAGAATGGCTTGGTTCAGGTTGAGGCAACAGGGGACTTTAATCAGGTGACCAGGAAGTCATCTTTGAGGAATTATCATTTGATCTGAGACCTAAGAGATAAGAAGCAACAACCATACCCTGTCCCATGTAGGCAAAGGAAATAAGTACCGAGGCTCTGAGTCAGGAATTGCTAGATGTCGTAAAGTACTGAGAGAAAACCAATGTAGTAAGAGCACAGTAAGTGAGAGAGAAAATAGACTATGAAATGTGGCTGGAGAATCAGGCAGAAGCCAGACTATGAGTCTTCAAGTTGTATCTTCATGCTCTTTTGTAGGATCTCAAATTTGGACAAGCACTGCCAGATAATTAGAAAGTTATAAGCAAAGGAAACATGCGGACTCAGCCACATGGTCAAAATTCCAACCAATGCATGCAAATAAATTTGTATTCTTGTGTGAAACACTAAACTGGATGCTAACAGTGAAGGAATAGGCATGATACTTGCCCTCAAGAATCCTCTAATCTTGCTGGGAAAGAAAAGTATACTCCTATGAGGTGATGGGATTATAAAATGAGGCCGGATGGCATTTATTGTGAGGAATATATCTGAAAGGAAGAAGCTTCCCACTGTCTGATTGCAGCCCTAATAGCTATAGAAGTATTTTAGCCGTAGTTTTCAAGGCCACCTCTTTTCTATTCCCATCCCCATCTCAGTTGCCTCGTAACTCTATTAGCTAGTACTCTGTATAGCTTGGAATGGCTGATAACTGATACAACATAAAGAAATGCCTTACATAAAGTGGCAGAGTAGAACTGGTAGGAAAATTCAGAAGATATGAACTGGGTAGACACTTAAAAAATAGGTAGAACTGTGAAGGTACAAAGGAGAAAATGCCCTTTCAATTGGCTAGAAAAGCAATGTTCTATAGAGAGTAATTAAATGGAAAGGTCAAGCAAACTGAAATCTATTTATTTCAGTAAAATAAAAAGATTATAAAACAAATTTTAACCAGTTTTGTGGAGCATTTGCCATGATTCCATACCAGGATATGAGAATTTTCTAAGGTGCTAAGGGAAAAATAAAGACAGGAAAAAAACTTAATATATCATATCATATCTAGATGTATACAAGTAATATATATTGCTCTGAAGAGAACTTACTGACTGGCTAATAAATAATTTAAATGTTCCCATCTAGCTAAGCTGGCTGGGTCAGTTAGTTGGAGCATCCTCCTATACACTAAAAAGGTTGTGGGATCAATTCCTGGTCAGGGCACATTTCTAGGTTGCAGATTCGATCCTTGGTCAGGGTATGTATGGGAGGCAAATAATTGATGTTTATTCTCACATCAATGTTTCTCTCTCTTTCTTTCTCTCCCTCTCCCTCCCGCTCTCTCTGCTTTCCTCCCTCTCTAGTATAATATATACAATATAAAAACATATTATACTATATATAATATATATAATATAAAAATAATGAACTATTGATACATGCATCAACTTGGCTAGCTCTCAAGGGGATTATGCTGAGTATTAAAAGATTACATATTGTATGGTTCTATTTATCTAACACTCCTGAAATAAAATTATAAAGATGGAGAACAAATTAGTGGTTGCCAGGAGTTAGTGATGGGAGAAACTGGGTGAAGGCCACACGGAACCTCTCTGCTATTTTTGAAACTTTTCAGGAATCTACAATATTTGTTTAATGGTTAAAATAAAGACCAAAGGAAAAGATTAATAAAATACATGAAGAGATGGCGAGTCTCAGGAGAAAAATAAAAGAAACTGTAACAAAGAACCAATGGAAATTATAGAATTGAAAAAGAATTAGATGGATTAGTACCAGATTTTATACAGCAGAAGAAAGAATTAGTAAAATTGAAGACAATATTGGCCTTCTCTCAACTTTTCCAATGTACCAGTTCTTTCCATAAATGCTACTAACTCAAGGGATGCCTTAACTAACAACCTTCTGTTAGTTTGCAGTTGGTACCCTTATTATTTATCCTCATGACATCCTGTGTTCTTCCTCCATGGGACTTATCACAATTATCTAAATAATAAAAGCCTAAGCAACCATTACGGCAGAACAACCAGAATGATCAGTCGCTATAATGCACACTAATCACCAGGGGGCAGACGCTCAACACAGGAGCTTCCCCCTGGTGGTCAGTGCCCTTCCACAGGGAGAGTGCCACTCAGCCAGAAGCCAGGCTCAGGCTCACTGTTGGCAAGCGCAGCAACGGTGGCGGGAGCCTCTCCCGCCTCCACAACAGTGCAAAGGAGCAGCGAGCTGAGCAGTAAGGAGCAGTGAGCAGGTGGGCGGTAAGGAGCGAGGGGTCTCAGACTGCGAGAGAGTGCAGGCTGGGCTGAGGCCTCTCCTCCCAGTGCACGAATTTCATGTACCCGACCTCTATTGAGTATATATTTATCTGTGTAGTTATCTTTTAATGCCTAACTCATTATTAGAGTACTAAAGGCCCTTTGCATGAAATTCACACATGGGGGGAGGGGAGGGTATCCCTCAGCCTGGCCTGCGCCCTCTCACAATGCAGGACCCCTCAGGCAGGGTCCCTAGGCCTGGCAGGGGATCAGGGCTTTCCTTCCCCCAGCTGCCAGCAGCTGGCCCCGCCCCTGCCACTGGTCACCTCCCTCTGTGGACAACAGCCGTGGGGTGCGATCACTTGACTGGCCTGGGCCTGCCTTTGTGGGGCGATCGCTGGCCAGTCCCACACACCCGCCACAGCGTTACTGGCCGGTGGCCTGGGCCTCCCTCTGCGGGGCAATTGTGGGGCGATGGCAGGGCCCCCCGACCAATCACATCACACCCGCCTTGGCTGGCCTGGCACCAGTGCATGTCATAGCGTGGTCGTCCAGAAGGTCGTCCGGATGGTCATCCTGCTGTCCAATCATTCGGCCAATTTGCATATTACACTTTTATTATGATAGATAGGCTTCCCAAGGGTAGGCACTCTATTATGTTTATTGTTCTTTCCTGGAACAGAGAAAATACCAAATAGTAATTGTTCAAGATGAGTTCTTAGATATCACACAAGGTATTAAGTAGTACATCATAATGTCTTATAAAATCCTTATATAGTCATAAAAGTAAGAAAAAGAGACTATAGTCCCCTTTAATTTCTGCCCTTTCTTACTGTTTCTATCACTTTGATTTTTAACATTTCCTAAAGATGTTTTATATCAACCTCTGCCATTCTTTGGGAATCATAGTGTCATATGACTTCAGATAGATTTAATCTTTAAAGGAGTGTCATGGCTAAGATTTTGTAACCTTCTTATATTTGTTTGGAATAGTAACACAGTGTTTCCATCTCGGGCAACTTATAGGGAATCATATCATATGACTTCAGATAGATTTAATCTTTAAAGGAGTGTCATGGCTAAGATTTTGTAACCTTCTTATATTTGTTTGGAATAGTAACACAGTGTTTCCATCTCGGGCAACTTATAATCATCCCTGCAGCTGCTCAGCTTTTCCAGATCCCAACTTCCTTGGCCTCTTCTAAAACCAGGGGCTCAGACAGACAGTGTGCCAATAACAACACAAATGTATTACTTCATCTGTTCAGTGTATCATCTCCAGGAGAGAAGATAATAATGCAACCTGTGTGGTATTTAAAAATGCTACCCCCTGGTTGAATTTTTAAAACTAGAAAAAATTTGATTTTTCCTTTCATTTAATGGTTGGTTGATACTTTTCTTTCCTTTTAGATACT